GTGCCCTCGACGATGGTCACGGACAGCGGCCGCGGTAAGAGACCACCCCCTTGCGCACCCCCTATGTGTCGAGAATATGCCATGCCTGCTGTGCCCTGGACGACCGTCACGGATAGCGGCCGCGGTGAGAGACCAGTCCCTACGCACCCCCTCTGTGTCGAGAATATGCCATGCCTGCTGTGCCCTGGACGACCGTCACGGATAGCGCCGCGGTGAAGACCACCCCCTGCGCACCCCCTATGGTGTCGAGAATATCCATGCCTGCTGCCCTGGGCGACCGTCACGGATAGCGGCCGCGGTGAGAAACCACCCCCTGCGCACCCCCCATGGTGTCGAGAATATGCCATGCCTGCTGTGCCCTGGACGACCGTCACGGATAGCGGCCGCGGTGAGAGACCACCCCCTGCGCACCCCCTATGGTGTCGAGAATATGCCCTGCCTGCTATGCCCTGGACGACCGTCACGGATAGCGGCCGCGGTGAGAAACCACCCCCTGCGCACCCCCTGCGGTGTCGAGAATATGCCATGCCTGCTGTGCCCTGGACGACCCTCACAGATTGTGCAGACGTCTTGGGTGTATGATGCAGTGAACATGCGTCTTGTGTGTGCGAGTGTGTGCATGCGTGCAGCTGTATGTAGACGCGTGTCTCATGTATTTGCCGTGCGTGTGTTGACCGCGGGTTGAGGAGAGGAATGAAGAGGAGGAGGGGATGAGGAGACGCGGGTGCGCCGCGGCAGTGAAGAAAACCATAACCCCGCGAAACATGTGGGGAAATACCACTACTACTACTACTACCACTACCACTACCACTACTACTACTACTACTACTACTACTACTACTACTACTACTACTACTACTACTACGACTACTACTACTACTACTACTACTACTACTACTACTACTACGACTACTGCTACTACTACTACTACTACTACTACTACTACTACTACGTACTACGTACTACGACTATGGGTACGACCTACGCCTAACGACTACGACTACTACGACACTACGAACTATCATTACGCCTACTCACTACTACTACTAAACTACTACTAACTACTACTACCTACGACTACTACTACGACTACTACTTTTTACTACTACTACCTACTACTACTACTACTATACCACTACTACTACTACTACTACTACGGGACTACTACTACTACTACTACTACTACTACTACTACTACTACTGACTGCTACTTCTTTTACTCAACTACGACTACTAACTACTACTACTCCTACTACTACTAATACTTACTACTACTCACTACTAACCACCCCCACTACTACTACTACTACTACTACTACTACTACTACTACTACGACTACTACGACTACTACTACTACTTCTACTACTACTACTACTACTGCTGCTGCTGCTGCTGCTGCTGCTGCTACTACTACTACTACTACTACTTCTACTACTACTTCTACTACTACTGCTGCTGCTGCTACTGCTACTACTACTACTACCACTAATAATAATAATAATAATACTAATAATACTAATACTAATAGATAAACGTTCTCTCAGCAGAAGCCAAACAAGGCTCTCCTGGCGCGCGTAAGGAGGAAGGCCCAGGCAGGGAATGGACACGGGGTGCGACGGAGACGACAACGGACGGACATGACGAGGAGACGACGGAGACGGAGACGACGACGGAGACGACGAGGAGACGACGAGGAGACGACGGGGATGACACGACGACGACGATGACGACGACGACGACGACGGCGACCAACAGCAGAGCGTCTTCCACACGCCGACAGGCTCGGCTGATTTTTCATCGGGCGGACCTGTGTCTGGTCGCCTCACGTGTGCATGCGGTCGGGTACGTCCCTGGGTAATGTAAGTCGGCCTGTCCCTCTACGAGAGGAATATTCAAACATAGTAAAAAACAGTCTGCGGATTCGACTATGTTTGACCATTTCGGCGTATTTGCCTGACTAGTGTGTGTATCTTTCGGCCAAACTCCCCCTGCAGGGGGACACGCCCGACTGTAATGGGAACCGAGTTGAGGAACCTCTGGAGGAGGAGGAGAGACAGAGGGCTCGCATCGAGAGGCGGAGCCATACACTGGCAGGTTCGCGCCGTGTCGGCGAGGCGACGACCCCAGCGCGGGCGTGTGAGGCTGAGCGCCGCCATCCTTGAATTCAGTCGGGCCTGTCCCTCTACAGGAGGAAGATCCAGAAACAGTCACGAAATAGTATGGGGAAGATTTGTCCCAACCCTCCTTGGTTGGGTATGGTCGCGTCCTTCTCCCGCCCCCCCTGTGGTCGCCATGCCTGGGGGGCTGCGATCTGCGAAATTGTCGCCACTTTCGAAGGCTGCTGGTGGGTCCTGCGGGCTGAGGCACCGCGCAGATCTGAGCAAGACCTCGCCGTGCCTGTGGGGCTGCGATCTGCGAAACTGTCGCCACGTTCGAGCGCTGCTGGTGGGTCCCGCGGAGTGAGGCACCGCGCAGATCTGAGCGAGACCTCGCTGGCCTGGGGGGCTGCGATCTGCGAATATGTTGCCACTTTCGAGGGCTGCTGGTGGGTCCCGCGGAGTGAGGCACCGCGCAGATCTGAGCGAGACCTCGCCGTGCTTGGGGGGCTGCGATATGCGAACCTGTCGCCACAGTCGAGGGCAACTGGTGGGTCCTGCGGAGTGAGGCATCGCGCGGATCTGAGCAAGACCTCGCCATGCCTGGGACGCTGCGATCTGCGAAACTGTCGCCACTTTCGAGGGCTGCTGGTGGGTCCTGCGGAGTGAGGCACCGCGCGGATCTGAGCAAGACCTCTCCGGCTTGGGGGGCTGCGATCTGCGAACCTGTCGCCACTTTCGAGGGCTGCTGGTGGGTCCTGCAGAGTGAGGCACCGCGCGGATCTGAGCAAGACCTCGCCGTGCCTGGGTGGCTGCGATCTGCGTAATTGTCGTCACTTTCGAGGGCTGCTGGTGGGTCCTGCGGAGTGTGGTACCGCGCGGATCTGAGCAAGACCTCGCCGTGCCTTGGGGGCTGCGATCTGCGCAACAGTCGCCACTTTCGAGGGCTGCTGGTGGGTCCTGCGGAGTGAGGCACCGCGCGGATTTGAGCAAGATCTCGCCGTGCCTGGGGGCCTCGATCTGCGAATCTGTTGCCACTTTCGAGGGCTGCTGGTGGGTCCTGCGGAGTGAGGCACCGCGCGAGAGGGGCTGCGATCTGCGAACCTGTCGCCACTTTCGAGGGCTGCTGGTGGGTCCTGCGGAGCGAGGCACCGCGCGGATCTGGTCAAGATCTCGCCGTGCCTGGGGTGGCTGCCATCTGCGAAACTGTCGCCACTTTCGAGGGCTGCTGGTGGGTCCTGCGGAGTGTGGAACCGCGCGGATCTGAGCAAGTCGCCGTGCCTTGGGGGCTGCGATCTGCGCAACAGTCGCCACTTTCGAGGGCTGCTGGTGGGTCCTGCGGAGTGAGGCACCGCGCGGATCTGAGCAAGACCTCGCTGGCTTGGGGGGGCTCGATCTGCGAAGCTGTCGCCACTTTCGAGGGCTGCTGGTGGGTCCTGCGGGGTGAGGCACCGCGCAGATCTGAGCAAGACCTCGCCGTGCCTGGGTGGCTGCGATCTGCGAACCTGTCGCCACTTTCGAGGGCTGCTGGTGGGTCCTGCGGAGTGAGGCACCGCGCGGATTTGAGCAAGATGTCGCCGTGCCTGGGGGGCCTCGATCTGCGAATCTGTTGCCATTTTCGAGGGGTGCTGGTGGGTCCTGCGGAGTGAGGCACCGCGTGGATCTGAGCAAGACCTCGCCGTCCCTGGGGGGCTGCGATCTGCGAAATTGTTGCCACTTTCGAGGGCTGCTGGTGGGTCCTGCGGAGTGAGGCACCGCGCGGATCTGAGCAAGACCTCGCCGTGCCTGGGGGGCTGCGATCTGCGAAATTGTCGCCACTTTCGAGGGCTGCTGGTGGGTCCTGCGGGGTGAGGCACCGCGCGGATCTGACAAAGACCTCGCCGTGCTTGGGGGGCTGCGATCTGCGAAATTGTCGCCACTTTCGAGGGCTGCTGGTGGGTCCTGCGGGGCGAGGCACCGCGCGGATCTGTGCAAGACCTCGCCGTGCCTTAAGGTGGCTGCGATCTGCGAATTTGTCGCCACTTTCGAGGGCTGCTTGGGGGGCCAGCATAGCGATCTGCGGAACTGTCGCCACTTTCAAAGGCTGCTGGCGGGTCCAGCGGAGTGAGGCACTGCGCAGATCTGAGCGGGACCTCGCCGTCCCTGGGGGGCTGCGATCTGCGAAACTGTCGCCACTTTCGAGGCCTGCTGGTGGGTCCTGCGGAGTGAGGCACCGTCCAGGTCTGAGCGGGACCTTGCCGTTTCTGAGGGGCTGCGATCTGCGAAGCTGTCGCCACTTTCGAGGGCTGCTGGTGGGTCCTGCGGAGTGAGGCACCGCGCAGATCTGAGCGTTACCTCGCCGTGCCTGGGGGGCTGCGATCCGCGGAATTGTCGCCACTGTCGAGGGCTGCTGGTGGGTCCAGCGGAGTGAGGCACCGCGTGGATCTGAGCAAGACCTCGCCGTCCTTGGGGGGCTGCGATCTGCGAAACTGTCGCCACTTTCGAACGCTGGTGGCGGGTCCAGCGGAGCGAGGCACCAGGCAGATCTGAGCGAGACATCGCAATCCTTGGGGGGCTGCGAGCCTCACGAATGCCGCTCGCAGAAGTATATGCGCCCATGTCACGTCATCACCTCCGTATAACGTCTCCCAAGCTACTCATGCCCCGCATTGCGCAGGGGTTGGGTACGTCGCCAGGGTAATTTGATATTTTTTTGGCCACGTTGTTGCATTTTTTGACTACTTCCTATTTTTCGTGAAAGATCCCGCTCTAGGAGGACAGGCAGGATTTAATCCTTGAACGACCCATCCTTTTTGAACGGGCCGAACGTTCGAGTTTGAGCGATCCCCGCGGTGTGTCGCAAAGCGATGCCGGGATCGACACGGCCCAGGCCTGCCGTGCCCCCTGCCGCTTCCGGCCTGCCAGGTGGTCGCCTGGCGCTGCGTGGCGCTGACCGAGGGGCGCCGGGGCAACCAGTGGAAGGCCCCGCCTGGGAGGAGCAGGAAGAGGAGGAGGACGAGGAGGAGGATGATCGAGGGGCGAGGAGCAGGAGCAGGAGGAGGAGGAGGAGCAAGAGGAGGAGGGGGATGAGGAGGACGAGGAGGAGGAGGAGCAGGAGGAGGAGGAGGAGCAGGAGGAGGAGGAGGAGCAGGAGGAGGAGGGGGAGGAGGAGCAGGAGGAGGAGGAGGAGGAGGAGGAGGAGGAGGAGGAGGAGGATCGAGGGGCGAGGGGCGAAGGGCGGGAGGAGGAGGAGGAGGATGAGGGGTCGCCATGAAGGAAGGTGGAGTCGCCGTGAAGGAGGAGGAGGAGGAGGAGGAGGAGGAGGAGGATTCGCCGAGGACGACGCAAGCGCGGAGGAGGAGGAGGAGGAGCCGCTCGGAAGGAGCGGGGCCCGGAGGGAGGCGTGCCCTGTGTGCGCGTCGCCGTCGTGGGCCTCTGGTCAGAGCCCCGAATCATCAGGGCTAACTCGAGTCAGGGCTAAGTCGGGTTCGCCTTTTCGGGATTCCGACCCCGAGTTGCCCCGGGCCCGAGTTGCCCCAGATGATTCGGGCGTCCAGAGCCCCAGATTATCAGGAGTAATCGGGTCAGGGCGAACTCGGGTTCGTTTTCCGGGAATCCAAAACCCGAGTTGCCCAGGACCCGAGTTACAGTCAACCCGCACAGTAAGGATGGGCAACCTTCCCAAGCGTACCCTTGCATTCTTGCCTCCTCGGTCCATCCTTCGCCGCTTTCGCTGGCCGCGCCCCGCTCGAAAAGCTTCGAAATGGGCGTCCAAGGCTCTTGCATCCTTATCGCGCATCCTTACTATACTGGTTGACTGCACCCCTGATATCTCGGGCGCCCAATCTGGGGAGGGCCGCTCATCGGCCCTGGGCTTCTGGCTGTCGGTGGGGCCATGGCGGGGGTCCCCGTCGCCACGGCGGGGTCCACTTCGACATCGCGTGGGGGGGGGGGTCGTGGAGTCCGGTTCGCTGGGGTCCTGTACCACGCAGGCCAGGTTTGGGGATGGAGTGGAAGGGAGGGGGGTGAGGAGGGATGATCATGATGATGTTGATGATGATGTTGATGATGTTGATGAGGATGAGAATGATGTTGATGATGCTGATGATGCTGATGATGATGATGATGATGATGATGGTGATGGTGATGGCGATGGTGATGGTGATGGTGATGATACGGATGATAAGGATGATAAGGATGATCAGGATGATAAGGATGATAAGGATGCTGATGATGATGATGATGATGATGATGATGATGATGATGATGATGATGATGATGATGATGATGATGATGGGGATGAGGAGGAAGAGGAGGAGGAGGAGGAGGAGGAGGTGGAGATGGAGAGTGAGGAGGAGGAGAAGCAGGAAGGAGGAGGAGGAGGATCAGGAGCAGGAGGAGCAGGAGGAGGGCCAGAGTAAACACATGCCGCCTCAACGATTTTGCAGTAAACCCTCCCTCCAACTTCTCGTATCATTGGTCCCTACAGGGATTCATTTTCACAACAGAAAGTTGCCTTGTCGGAAGACAACCGTCTGTGAATCCTCAATCATCCTAAAACATCATTCCTGGGACTGTTTTGTCCTGACGGTCTTAAGTCGTGCCCGAATACCACGTCTGGGACGTCAACGAGAAGATGCCTCGAAACGGCCTCAAACTTTGAAAACGAGTGTGCGCGTCGTTAATGCGAGATTCACACCCTGAAAGGGAACCTCCCTCCATCAGTGAAGCTCTTGCGAACTTCTGAAACGAATGCGCGCGGCGCATAGGCGAAAGCCGCATGTTGAACAGGAACCGCCCTCCACCAGTGAAGCTTATCTATAAACTTGTCTGGAATGCGCGCGGCGCCAAGGTAAGAGACGCAGATCGAAAAACAGCCCGCCCTGTACGCGTGAAGTTCTTGCAAACTTGTACAGTCGGGGCCCTGAAGAAGGAACCCTTTTGGTTGGGGAGGGGCTCCGCGTTCCTTAAGTGTTTCACAGCTTGCCTCAGGTTTTCCTTATGTTTCCGATAGGAAATCGAAGTTCAACTTATGGAGAAAAGGGGCCTCGTTCCTTATTTAGGGTTCCTTAGGTCAACGCCCCGACTGTAAGTTTCAGGGTCATAGCTGGTGAGGGGGTCCCATGCGAAACGCCAAGGCCCTCCTGCTGACATTGCTCAGGTTGCCACGGGGAGGCGTTCTTCATAAGGAGTAGATCGAGGAGGACGAGGAGGGGAGTGGTGAGGATGAGAAGGCCGAGGAGGGGAGGAGAAGCACGTCTGGGGAGGAGACGGGAAGCGGGGGCAGGTTGAGGAAGGGGAGGACCGCGAAGAGGTGTTGTTGCGCTGAGGGGCCACCCCAGGAGGTGCTGCTGCGATGAGGGCAGGCTCCGGGGCAGGAGGTGGAGGGGGATTGGTTAAGAGCATGGGCAGGCGTGATCAGCAGCGGGAGTTCCACGCACAGGAACAGCCGGAGGAGCAGGAAGAGAAGACGAGCGTGATGTATGGACGGGTCTCCACCGCATGCTAGTTTAGGGGAACGAACAATGGCATAAACATAATAACTCGCGCCAGGGGCGGCGTCGGAGGCGCCGCTAGGGGGCCCCACCGCTGATCCGAGAAATCTGCGCGGACCTCCGAGTTATTCTGTTTATGTCCTTGTTCATTCCCCTATAGTTGTATGATTCAAGGTGCTTCTGCCAGTCCGCCGACCCCCAGACGAAGTGAGGCCTTGTGGGCGTCCGGGTGGGCGTCTCGAAGCCTCGTCAGAGTTTCCTGGGCGGTTGCTGGCTGTTTCTTGGACGCCGTCGCACGCACGGGATGCCTTCAAGTGTCCGGATGCGTGGGAGGAGTGACCGCCTCGCAGTCGCTACTCTGCGCAAGGGGCTCTCTTATCCTGCGCTTCTCGGGAGGGAGCACTGAAATATGTTGCGCATCGCGCGTCAAGCGAGATGCTCCCAGAGTGACGTCGCGGATGATCGAGCTAGCCTTCTCATCTTGGGATTCGGAGAATGAGGGCGAAGGAGGAAAATAATGACATAGATAGCGACGACGGATGGCGCTGTGACAAAGGGTCGCCTTGCAATGTCGTCCGGGCTCTGTTTGAAGCCCCCATCGTGCAGCTGAGGTGCGTGCAGCAAGGGGGGTGTCTTTGGAGATTCCCGGGATCTTTTGCGGGTTTTCCTTTTTGAGCAATTTTGGAGGCCCCCGGAGCTTCTGGGGGCATCTTCGGGTTTTGTTGGCGACTCAGGTGGCGGCCTCTTGGCTTTGTCGAGGTTCCTGGGGAAGCTGGGGAGCCCTTAGGGGATTTTTGTGGGAGCCTCCTGGGAGCCAGTGGGACTAGGGGGCCACCTTCTGGGGGAAGAACCAATGGCCTCTGCGGGTTCCCCCTCTTGGGCATCTATTGGGGCCACATTCAAGGTTAGTTTTGCCCTCTCTGGGGCCTCTTTGGACCGTCTCCGGGTCGTTTTGAGGGTCTCTTGGCCCAGATAAAATAACAACTACACCATAAACCAATTCATAATAATTTGCAGTACGCTAAATTGTGATATAACAATATCTGATTCATAGTAAATGTGCCAGTCTGGAGGGCCTCTTGGGCCGTCTTGAGCGTGCAGACGCCAGAGAGCCGAAAACGCGGCGAAAAACAGATTCAACAAGTATTTGGAAATCCATGTTTTTTTGTCTCCGGAGGCCAATCCGGGGAGGTCCCCTAGGGGCTTTCTTTCGACGTCTTCGGCCGTCTTCAGATTACATTGGGTGTTCTTAAGGCTTCTCGGGCGTATCGGAGCTCTTCTGGAGCAATCTTAGAAACCATCCTGGGATCTCGGCGCGGCCACGGAGGGTGGGCTGAGAGGCTCCAGAAGCCCCAGGGGTGCCTCCATGAGCTCGGGGACCCATCCCACCCCGCGTTCACGAGCTCGGCGACCAGCCCCCCGGACCCCCACGCCACCCCACCCTGCCCCATCCCTCGAATGCGACTCTGGACCCTGACGGAGGGGGACCGGGGGAGGGGTGCAGTCAACCCGCATAGCAAGGATGGGTAACCTTCCCAAGGGTACCCTTGCATCCTCGCCTCCTCGGTCCATCCTTGGCCACTTCCGCTGGCCGCGCCCCGCTCGAGAAGCTTTCGAAATGGGCGTCCAGGGCCCCTGCATCCTTATCGCGCATCCTTGCTGTGCTGGTTGGCTGTGCAGCCCAATGTCCCACACGTCGCCCCTGGCCGGCGGGGGTCGGCGGGCCGTCCAAGAGGAGAGATCTCAGGAGGGGAAGACACACACAGACACAATGAACCGTCGATTCCTTGGAAGATACAGGAAACTGTGGGAAGTGGTGGGGGGAGACACACACCGAGAAAATATGGGAAGATTTGAAAGAGCGTGTTCTACCGCCGCTGCTGGCGGAAAACCGGGGGGGGGTCACTACCGGTTCGAACCCCTCCCCCCCCCCCCCAGTTCATCATGAAAAGGGGGGGGGGTCACTACCCGTTCGAACCCCCCCCCCCCTCGAACTCGAAAACCGGGGGGGGCCACTACCGGTTCGAACCCCCCCCCCCTTCCCCTCGAAAACCGAGGGGTGGTGCGGACAGTGGTGGGGACGGTGGTGGTGGGGACAGTGGTGAAGGGACAACGGGTCAGTGGTGGGGACAGTGGGACAGTGGTGGGGACGGTAGTGGTGGGGACAATGGTGAGGACAATGGTGGGAACAGTGGGGACAGTGGGAAAGTGGTGGGGACGGTGGTGGTGGGGACAGTGGTGTGGGGACAGTGGGAATGTGGTGGAAACATTGGGACAGTGGAGATACAGTGGTGGTGGGGACAGTGGTGAATTTTCTACAGTAAAGCGGACGCTCTCTCGAAGATTTGGGGGATCCTGTTATGTGTGTGTATTTATTTGCGTGTCCTTGGGCCCCTTGAATATCGCGCGCGTGCCCGCGGGGGCCGCAGCAGCCGCAGCGTGTCGAGAGGCCGCGGGCTGCGCGCGGGCCCGGCGGAGCTCGCCGCGGCAGCCC